AAAGTCGCATTTTGAGAAAACGGCCGATAAAGAAAAATAAAATACTGACTTTATGAGGAAATGGTGGTTACAAACATGCCTGGTACGGGAAAAAATACGGTTTTTGGGGGTTCTTATGCCATGAAATAGTTGTAGGAGAGGCTGAGGAAGCTAAAAATGCCTACAACTAAAATTCCATGATTTTGAGTCGAATTTTGATTTTGGGGGTGTAGCCCCCCCCCCCCCCCCCTTAAGGAGTGGAAATATGATGTATAAACTCAACTATCTGAAAAACTATCAAAGTTCTGAAATCGGAGAAGTAATTCGTTTTGGAAGCACACCTCACATTTACCTTTTTTTTTCTATTTTTGACTTCTGAAAGTGATACTGAAAAGTTACAGTTTCTTTTCCAGTGCCAAAGCACCTTCTTCGGATGGCATTTCCCTAGCTTCATCAGGATCTTTTGGCTCAGTGGATTATCATGATATAGAAGCCAGTGTTTACTATGAACCCACTAAGAGGAGACCAGTTTCAACTATATCAGACTTCACTTCTAATGCTGAATCGGAATATCGTGAGTAGGCTGCAGTTGAAATTGTAAACTTGAATTTTAAAGGAGCATCAAATATATTTGTGTTTTGAATAATTTTTAGGCATGCCTGTTTACTCACAAACTATGATTGAATATGACCCATAAGCAATGTCTTTTGTCCCAGCAGACGTCTAGATGTAGTATATTTAATGTATTTTCATGGTTTTTGTATTGTCTAAAGTCATTGCTGTCTCACATGGTGTATATGTGTGTGTGTATATAATATAAACCAAATTTTGTAAATATATTTCATATATTCATACAATTTTCATATATTCATATATTTTTTCCCACTCATATATAGCTCTCTCTGATTTGTTTTGTAGTTGGCTCCTAATGATTCATGTGATGAACATCCCCCCCGCACACACATACCTGCCTTTGACAAAAAAAAGAGGTTAAGGAAGCCCTCGACAATAGTGCTGTGAAAAATGAAACGAAAGGCAATGTCTGTGTGTGCTGAGTTGTGTTATATTTCAAAGTGTTAGTATTTTCAATGAAAACGGTTGACGAATGTGCTACAGCTAAGATATGGCATGATATTTTAATCAGCTATTTGTTGCAGGGTCACAATTTTGAACCGTTACACATTTGTTAATCGTGTATTACGCCCATTTAGATGCTTGTGTTTTTGACTGTGTGCCAGATGAGGATGTCATGTTTGAGGATTCTGGTGAGTTTGAGGAAATCTCAGAACCAAGTGATTCACCGCCAAAAGAAACCTTTATGGCATCTCTGGTCCAGGGGTTGAAGGAAAGACAACTTCAAAAAGGTATATTGTCTGTTTGCAATAGCTATCTTTGTTTTCTATAGCATTTGAAATTTCTTTCAGAATATCCATCATAAACAATGAAGTCTGATTTTATTTGTAATTGCTAGATTTCTGTAAAAGCAAACATAATTGTTATAACTGGAATATGATTTAACAAATATGCTTGTTTACATGCTTTGTACATTTCCTGAGAGTGGCAATAATGTAATTATGAGATTGATGTGTTTATTTCTTATCATCCTTTAGGTTAAAAGATTAAATCTCTTTTATTTTATTATTCCTTTTTTCAATAACCTTTCCGATTTGCACACATTTTCTGCATGACATTATATGGGTTGCAACACAGTAGAATCAGGTGTTTGTCAAATTTTATGCATATGGAGTTATTGGTATCATCTTATAGCGTGTTTATTTGTTTTGCTTTAGATGATAAAAAAACCCCCATCTTGAATAGAAGTGAGGATTTTGGTAATTGAAAGAGGTTGGGGTCCCTGGTATCAGAACAAAAGTTTAGCGAGAAAATGACCGTCAAAGTTTGGTGATTTCCAAAGATTGAGAGTCCTTGAAAATTGTACATTTATATTTTTAGTGCCTCTGATCAATGTTTTTTCTGTAAAATCCTCACAGAATGGTGTTTTCAAATTGACATAACAGGTTTGAGGCCCCCCCCCCCCTTCCCAAAAAAAGATAAATAAAAAATTACAAATCCCCAATAATCAGAAAATGCAGATTTCTTCGATTTCATTATTTTGACGAGCGCCCAATTACACCAAGCTTCCTCACATATTATTGCATCACAGAGTATCATGCTTTTCTTCCCCCACATTCTTTTGCAGAATATATATTGTAGGCCAGAGCAAGATCGACTCTGGGAATTGATTCTTTCGAGTCCAAATGAGGACTCAAAGAATCGATCTCGTTCACAGACTCAAAGCTTCGGTTCCGCCCAGGGTCGATGCCTCCCGTCTCCTTTTTTTTAAGCCTGGTTCCTAGCCTAGACTCCGAGAATCGAGGCAAGAATCTAAATCCCTACCGCACAATGACAGTCCTGTCGTGGGATAGGCCTAGGGCTGTCCTGTTCCACAGTCGAGTTTTTCGCTTCAAAACAGACACTGCACCAGGACAGGACTGATCCGGCCCATAAGGCGATTTCTTTGATGTTGGCGTAGGCGGAGTTAAAAATACATTCCAAAAATTTCTTAAATATTGGCCTAATTTAAGAAATAATAAGATTTTCGTGATCAGCGACCCAAAATTAGCGAAAATTACTCGGGGAACCCAATTTAATGCCCGATTACCAAGTTAAATTAATTTTTGTGAGTTCTGTTTAGTTAGTTGTTTTTTTTTCACTATTTGAATTTGGCGTGCACTAGGCCTAGGTCTAGATAGATTCAAGACTGTGTCTTCAAGGTGGATGAATCGAGGTTTCATGTGCCTGTGCTCTGTTGCTTCGTATTGGAAAAAAGATAAAGAGAAAACAGTATTAGGTCATACTGTCCCACTGACGTTGTAGCAATTCACAACTGCTCGGGACTCAATACAACAAAAATGTCCTGTCCCAATAATAGGTGCGGTACATTACACTCAAATTCAAAGGTTTCAAACGTCAGACGGGTCTGTCCCGTGACGAACTGTCGTAGGCCTAGTGCGGTAGGCCTAGGGGCCAAAGGCAAGAAGCAGCCAGTCAGTCACTATCAATTGTCTCACGCAACCCTCCACCTCGCCCCACCTTCTTCTTTCCCACTATGAGTGAATGCTAAACTAGGCCTAGGCCTACTTGTCGTGTCTACCGTGTAGCCCAGTACGAAACCACGCTGCACGTAGGCTACTTTGAATCTTGTTGCCCCACGCCCGCCCACCCAAATTAAATCATTCACTTCCTTTTCCTCTTTCTTTTGTCTTGATCGCTTGCTTTTCAATTTTACTGCACTTTCATTTTCACTGTACACGTATTCTTTTGTGAATCATATTGTGTGTTTGGAGTTGATATCAATGAGTCATCATGTCTGGACGTCGATCTCTAGCTTTGGACTTTTTTTTATAAGCAGGAAAACACAGTTGTTTGTATGATTTGTAAAAATGTGTTTGGCATACAATAACACAACGTCGGCAATAACAAAACATTTGTCGTCAAAGCATGCTTTGGCATATCAGGAAGCAAAGGATGCAAGAGAGAAGGAGCCTGTGCCCCACGCATTTGCAAGAGTGATAGAAGGGAGGCAACCCTACAAGCCTACCTACAACAATCACACACATGCGCACACACTCACACTAACACACACAAACACACGCACACACACACACACACACACACACACACACACACAAATGCGTGAAAGTCAACTTGTCTTGGCATGCGCGCAGGCTTTGCCAGCCATGTCTGTCAAACTCCAGACTCTCGGCCTCGAAGTCTCGAGTCTAAAAGCTATTTTTAGCAGTGTTCAAGTCATGGCCTCTAAATAGTCAGGCACACTTGAACCAGCTTCCAAACTCGAAAATCGGACTTGATTCCTCGATTCTTTTTCAGTTTTGTAATCGAGGCCTTGAGTCTTTTTGCCGCCCATCTTGCCCTGGCCTAATATATTGTGTTGCAATTTGGGGCAGCTTAAATTTGGTGCTTGCCAAAAGCAACAGGGAGACTGATAGTTTTGGTGCCATATCTGGTAGAACAATTACATGCACACATCTGTACTGATTCCGGTCTGCAAGTTGAATTGCTGACAGGAATTTTTTTTTTTTTATGATTAAGTATTTGTTTTTTCTATTTTTTTTCCATTCTTCAGATGCAGTTTCTCAAGGGTATTGCTTGCAGACTGTTCCTCCACCAGTCTCAGATAATGTAAGTTATTTAACTTTTAGAGTAGAATCGGTTTCTTGTTCAAATTGTTTTTCGTAAAAGTAGGTGCTTTTAAGCCCCCATTGACACAATTCTCTCCCCCCAGAAATCAATTATTAAGTTTCTTGCATGCAATTAAAAGCTGTATATTACCCTGATCTTTCCCTGCGCCTATTTATTTAGATTCTCAAAATAATTTGTTCTGGGACTACCCCTGCCTCGTTTGCCTTCAATTTTGCCAGTGAGAGCTAGATGTTCTAGACCTTTTTATGTCTATTAAGGTATCCCAAAAACTGCTTTTGTCTTTTCCTGATCTTTTTCAAGTACTACCTCTTTTGATTTCATTTCCTTCCAAGATATTTTCTGCAGTCTCTGAAGAAACCACATTTCTGTTGCTCCTATTTTATTTTCCATGTCTTTAGTGATTGTTCAGCATTCACAGCCATGGTTGACCATACAAAACATTTCAGAACTTTCATTGTGGTAGTCATTGAGATGTTCTAGTTTTCAGGATTAGGCTCCATTTGATTGAATTTATCCTTAGCCATTGCAATTCTTCGGAGTATTTTCCTGCCAGCTGTACATAGTTGCCACTTTATTTCTTTACCATTATTACAAAGCACCAAACATATTAGAAATGCTTGCATTGAAACTCTATTGTCTGTCTCAGAGATTGCACGGGCTGTAGATGCTTGGTTTTTTGTTGTTGATTTCAAATGTATAAGTTGATTGCAATTGTTTTTCAGAGGGAAACGCAAACGTATTGGTCATCTGTTCGTTTCCATGGGAGTAAAGAAGAGGCTTCAAAGTAAGATTTTATGAACGGTATGCTTTATTAACCCTTTGAGCCCTGGCATCCTGAGGCTACCATGCCCTTCTACCTGAGCTCCTGAACTATTTACGCCTTCATCCATATGATCGTCAGAATGCCATTTTATCCATATCCCTCATAGGTAATCTTTATCATTGTCAGAATATAATTCAGAAAGGTCTTCAAAATATTCAGTAACATCCTGTGTAGTTAACACTGTTTTCCATGTTTGATTAGTTCCTGGCGGGCCGGGTTGAGGATAGGGTATCGCCCTCCGCTGTACCGGTGGCTAGGCATATGGGCAATTTTACGTGCCATTAGTGTACCAGTAGCTAGGGCTCAAAGGGTTCAATTTGCGTTTTACACCCATGGCTTTTGCAGGGTGACACTCATTGATGGAAAACGTTTTGTCATTTTTAGAAAGAGTGGGATAGAAGTCACATCTGGGTGATAAGACCTTTGTGGTGTTTTTCTGGTCAGGTTGACTCCTGCCCTGTGACTCTAAAATGAAACTTTTGAAATGCTTAAGTTATATGTTCCTAGCAACACTGTAAGGATATTTAAGTGGCGAGACTCCAAATTTACCGTCCATCTCTGATAGGAAGGAGCCAAATGGCAACATTTTTGTGAGTGCCTTTCCCAAGGACACAATGTCCCAAGCGAGACTCACGCCCCCGAACCCTCAATCTCACTATTATGAGTTTAGTAGCCTAACCACCAGGCTACGGACACCATGTCTTGTGACTCTAGTAAAGTGTGTCTGTTGTTTGTTTTGGCACCAAACGCTTTATCTGATTGAAAGAATTGACAGTATTTTCAGAGAGTATCATATTGAGCAGCTAACTGGTTATGTTGTGTTAGTTTTAACGTACATTTTTTTTCATTTTAACCAGAGCGATGGCACCAGTTTCTGAAGATGGCGTGTATCTTGTGAGGAAAAGTGAAGACTTGTCTGTAAGTATTTCTTGTAAAATTGCTGATTCTATTGCTTGCATAATTAATGCAAGTGATGCAGAAATATTCTTGTTATGTGATCTAAGTGGTGCTATAAACGATTATATGTGAGGCATCTTGGTAGAATCAGGCGCTTGTCAAAATAGTTAAATCGAAGATATCAGCATTTTTCCCCCAGTTGACAATTTTTTTCTAATTTTTTATTTTTTGGCTCAACACCTTTTATGTCCATTTAAAAACATATTTCAATGTGGATTTACCGAAAGACTTTAATTTAAGTCACAACAAATGTAAATTTTTAGTTTTCAAGGACTCTCAAGCTTCGGAAATCACCAAACTTTGGCAGCCATTTTCTCACAAATTTTACATTTGAAACCAGGCAACCCTGACCTCCTTCAATTGCAAATATCTCGACTTCTATTCAAGAAAGGCGTGTATTTTTTCCCTCAAAAGATGGTCATATGAACAAGCTTTATGATGATACCAATAACTCCAGATACCCAAAAATTGAGGAACGCCTGATTCTACCGCGTTGTGACACATATTCTTTTTTTTTTTTAGGCTTTGTCTTTATAGAAAGATGTTCTTCAGTTCATCCCAACTGCAAGTGCGTGTTTGGGAGGGGGGGGGGGGGGGTGGGGTGGATGCAAGTCGTGAAGTCATTTGTAACTTCTCATCAAAGAAGATACTGAACTCAGGACTCTTTAACTTTTCTAACTTTTGTTAAATTTCATTAAAGCTGTTACCTTTTGTCTGGATCCTTTGCTTTAAGGCAAAACTAAAGTTCTAAAAGATTTTTATGCAGCAGTTTAGTGAAATAACAAATATACTGAAAAGAGCTTGTTATGAAAGTATCACTCTTATTTTGTGGGTAAAGTTTGAAAATTCCTGATTTTATTCAGTGTTGCATTAAAACCTTGCTGCCTTCAATTTTTAAGCAAGATTCAAATTTTATGCATTTTTGTTTAGATGCCAGTAATTAGTGCTTGCAAATTCCCTCATTGTTGCTTATTTTTAGATGCCAGTAATAAGTGCTTGCAAATTCCCTCATTGTTGCTTATTTTTATATTGTGTTCTTTAAGAAAAAAACAGCAAAACAACTGTACATTTTAATAAGAAAAGCTGTAGACTGGGTAATGATTTACTTTTGAGAAAATTGTCATTTAATAAATAACTCACTGTGTAAGCATTGTAAAATAACCACAAAATACTTCAGTATCACAGTTTCTAAGCTTTATCTGTTATTTCAATGACAATGGCCTTAAACGTTGGTCAATCAATTATTTATTGGTATTTTTCAAATGCAGGATGTACTGTTGGTTCGCAGTGGTAGCAACTCAAGGAAATATCGGATATTTGTCAAGGTAAATGTATGGTAATGGAACAGACTGGTGCACTGTTCATATTTTCTGTTTCTCGTGGCATATACAGTCAAACCTGCCATGACGGCCACCTCTGTAAGACGGCCACCTGTACTGTCGGCCACTTTCCATTTCCCCCTTGAGTTTTTTCTATATAATTTAACTGTGTAAAACGGGCACCTGTCCGCCACGGCCACCGTATTTTATAAACCCACGGCCAAATCTACCTGCCTAAGGCGGCTAGACTTTGTCAAAAATTATGCTTTTCCCCGTGGACAAGCTGTCATAATTCATTCACCTGTCGTTGTTGTCAGTCCCTCCAATGGATGAAACGGTAATGTTGCTTAGGTCACTCCCAATGTTTCCCCAAGTTGACCACTGGGTAACAATAAATTTTCAGCTGCTGGTAAGGGAAGCGTGTGATCTGTCGTAACCTATAAGGCCCGCCCACTTCTCAGTCCGTAAACCTATTCCATAACAATGGAAGTCAACACGAACTCACGACAGAAGTGTTGCTCGTTCACCGAGTGGTGGCTACCCATTTATTTGTTTTACTATGACATCTTCCTCATCTGACACATTTCGTTTTGTTTTGACCTCTCCCAGAACCATACTTTAAAAATGAAAATAAAACTAACAACAAAAAGTCCCACAAAAACTATCCTATCCTCTCCCCCCTTTCAAAAGAAATAAAACAACAAGAACAACACATTCTAATCATACCTAGGGCAGTCCTAAGCATGCAACCACCTCAGGAGTAAATCTTTTTTTTCTTTTTTTTAAAAAAATTTTGGTCAGTCCTGCCTAAGACGGCCACCTGTTTTATACGGTCATTTTTCCGCTCTAGAATGCGGGGCCTTCTTACTTACACAGGTTTGACTAGTTTTATTTCCAAATTATTTTTTTTAAACCTTGCGTCATGAAATGTCCCCAATTCATTTAGCCAAATGCTTTTTAGGTTCATAGGTGTTGAATTTTGATTTTCAGCCAAGTTTGCCATGATGTTTGGGCAGTTGTGTGTGTGTTGTTACAACACATGCATGTTTTTTTTTTCCCTCAAGGTTGATCCAAAGGGCTAAAACTTTGTGGGTGGTTGGCAGGTGCCCTGGGGTGATCTTCTCCTTCTTTCTTATCAAACGTCTGCAGTCCTGATCTTTTTCCTTCTTTTCTTTGTATTTTAGTCTCTAGTAACACTTTCTTCTTGTTTTGGTAAGATTTTATGGTGCTCGCAACTGCGTAATGTCTTAAGAGCGGGCGGCACTCAAGTTAGTTTTCACATTAAGCATTTTCAGCTTTGGTAGGAATTAATTTTGAATTTTGCCCAGGTGGTGGGTGAAGCCTACTCCTGTTGATTTTAGGGCCACCAAGGGATCTTTAACGAGCAGAACTTGCACATGGGACTCCGAGATTTTTTCACCCATACACAAGAAGGCTAGGTGTTAGATCTTATCTACCATAAGATCAGGCGTGTGGCTGAAAGACAGCAGTAAGAAGGAGCCAGGAGTAGCAGTAGAAAGAGTGGGGGCTCTCGTAGCCTAGAGGTTAAGGTGTTCCACTCTCTTTCAAAGGTCCCGGGTTCGAATCTGGGTTGCGACGGAAAATTTTCCTCTCTAAAATTGTCTCCTTTCACATCCTTTCCTGCTCTCTAGAATTGTTCTGTCATCTACTTTCGTCTCCACTTTCTGCCCCCACCCCCTCACCTCCTTTGCCTCTTCCTCTGGGCTCCTGATTCTTTCTTCAGCCTTTCTACTGCTACTCCTTAGCTCCTTCTTACTGCTCTCTTTTAGCCACACCCCTGATCTTCTGGTAGGAAAGATCTACACCTAGCCTTCTGGAACAAGGGCCAAAAATTCTGGAGGTCCCGTGTGCAAGTTATGCACGTTAAAGATCCCTTGGTGGTCTAAAATCGATAAGAGTAGGCTTTGGCCACCACCAGGGCAAAATTCAAAATTTCCAATGAACTGAAAATGTTTAATGTGTCTCATGCGCTCATATGACCTTATGCAGTTTCGAACACTGTAAAACGCTTAACAAAAAAGAAGTAGAAAGAGTCAGAAGCCTATAGGTGAGGGTAAGGAGTAAGGAAGGGGGGGAGGGGGGGCAGAAAGTGGAGGTGAAAGGAGAAAATTTTAGATAAGAAAATTTCCCATTGCTGTCAGGTTTGGGACCTATTGAATGAGAGGCGAACACTGTACCTTTAGACCACAAGAGCCCCACCCCCTAGTAACACCTCTAATCTTCAGCACGTACATGACCTATTTGTGTTAATACTGCCTTAAACTCTTAGTAAACTAAACTAAAATTCTGTCCGCTTTAATGTTTGACCACCGGTCACCCATCATCTTTTCATTTGCTCCTGTGGTCAGCATGACCTTTTTAGCTTTTATTTCTGAAAAGTGAAGTATTGTGAAAGTTAGGGACACTGCCAGTTTACTTCTCTGCCTTGATAATGATAACTCACCATCTCACTATTGTAGAACTTATCCATTTGGGCAGCAATTGACATTTAAAAGGATTAGTTGAAGAAGATAAACTGGTGTACTTGTATTTTCGCTTATCATATTATATATTTTCTTTTTTCAACTTTGACCAGAGATAAGATAAAGTCTGTTTATTTTCCTTCATTGTTTTGAGTAAAGAATGACTTACTGAAACGACTTTCTTTTGCAAACTGTTTTTGTGCTTTGTCTCTAAGGAAATAGATGCAGTTAGTAAGCTGATGTTATGCTGACTTTTGAAGTATCCAATTTTGCTAGACCGCTGTTCAATCATTTGTAGATTTTACTCTGGGGGAGTGGACTGAATTTACTGTTGGGTATACACGTGAAAATGTAAGCAGACCAGTAACATTTTTCTTAGGTAAAGTACAATATATGGGTGCCTATTTGTTTACAAGTTAGAAAATGTAAACTTTTGTTGACAGATGAGAGTGTAGAACTGTGCACAGATACATGTTTGTTTGATTACTTATTGTACATAAAAGTGATTTGGTCTTTAAAGAATTAAATACTTGCATTTTCAAGTCTATGAACTGGAGATTGATTAGGATAAAATATAAGCTAGGATCATTTTAAAAAATGGCTTTTCATCTTTAAACTAATGAGAACAGAATGGGGTTAGATGCTTAATAGAGTGATTAAGAAATAAAAGACTTGAAGTATTATAAGTAAAAACTGTGTAAAGATTATTGTTGTTGTTTTCTTATTACCTCAGACAAAGTGTCTTTTCAGGTGCTTATTTTTTGTTCTTGATTTCCTTACAGGATGATGGGAAACTGACACTGAGCCCGACCTCTCCTTGTTTTGACAAACTGGAACAGCTCCTGTTCCATTATTATTCAAATGATTTGCCTAACAGTGTTCTAAGACTCAGTGCGCCATACAGCATTTATGTGGGGCAGTCGGATTAACCGTGCCTACTCTTCACCGGTTTTGATACATGATAGGTTGTGATCAGCTCAAAAGGAAAAAAACAAAAACAGACAGTGCTGTCCCAGACTTCACTGAGTGTTTTGATAAAAGTTTCATGAAGTAATCGGATGAGGTTCATATGTCTCTAAAGATTTGTGGTTTAATGACCTAAGTTTCTTGAATTGGAACTGTTTTTGCTTTTTAAATTCATTTTGGTACCACCTTTTGGTGACTGTGTGTATTTGATTGACCTAGTTGTCACATGCTGTTTACTTTGATTTTCCAAATTGAAGTCTTTCCTGTTTAGTAAAATTTCCACAATGAGACGAAAAAGCAAATGAAAATGCAGAACGGGGAACATGGAAAGTCATTTGGCAGTTCTGCAAGTTAACATAAATTGTGCAGAGCTCAAAGATGGAGAATGATCTGTTACAAAGCGAATGTTTTAAAATTCTTTTATTAAGAGGATTGTTTGCTGTGCCATGGACTGTTTATGAGACCCCTCAAATATTGAGCAAGGAGGAAATTTAAGACTTTTGTCACTTTATTGTAATTTTATATTCTTATTATTCTGTCTTTTGTGTACCCTCAGTTAGTTTTAACATTTTAGGGATCACAGTAAAATGCAAAATTAATAAGAGTACATTCAAGAAGAAAAAAAATTTATTATAGGATGATTTTCCCTTTTGATGTCAAATTTCAAAGACATAATATCTTATTGTACTTGAATACTCCATTGCCACAGGCTGTTGCCTTTGGAGGTGTTAAAAAGCTTTACGCTTCACTGATGCATGTTTTTTAATGCAATTTTAATACAATTTTTGGACTTTTTTTTGGTCTCTTGCACTGGTTATGCAAAGTTTCTTCTATTTCACTCGTGTCTGAGATGTTACCACAGACTTGTACTGGTATGCCATGCACTGTCATGGCTGTTACTCTTTACTCTCTATATAAACTTGACTGGGAAGTGTGCACACCATGGCCCAAGTTATTATGTCCAATTGAAAGGCAAAAGTGCCAAGTGGGCAAAAAAATACTAAACCCCCCCCCCCCCCCCCCAATCATTTGCAGTTATGTAGTGCATACTTAAAAGGAGTGTGGGCGGGCAGGTGGGCTATCTTGTCCCACTCAGAACAAACAAGGGTATCCTACAACGTCACCAAACTGTCCCATCCCGACATAGCAAAACCAACGCCTTGTGCATTATCTTGAAACGTGGTGGGCAGCAGATAGACTCTGTGTACACTATTTAATTTATGCCCACTGGCTAGTCTTTGACTTGTAGAAGCAATAAATTTGTGTAAATTAACAAGATTATTACCAACTCTCATAATATGTCAAATTCAAAGGAGAGGGTAACAAACAAGAACAGAGAATTGTCTTGCCCACGGAGAAACAACTGCTACCACAGCTGCAGTGACTGCCACAACTTCTACTTCAACGACTACCACCACCACCATCACCACTGCTATTATTATTATTATTATAATTATTATTGTTATTATTGTTATTAGTATTATTAGTTTTACTAGATTTCTTTAAAAAAATTATTGTTTGTACTATTGTTGCTGTTACTGCTGTAGTATTTATTTGTTAACTTTTATTGTTACTATTATTATCATTTTTATCGTTGTCATATAGTGGATTCTTTTGTATGTGCTGGCCATCTTTTTGCTCCTCCTAATCGATGGTTAGTGAAAGACTCTGCCAGCTAACATTCATTTTAATTTATCGCTAAAAAACAGACCTTAATGACGACAATAACAACAGAAAAAAAGAAAACATATTATAGCAGTAGCAGTAGTTGAGCGGTAGTAATAGTAGCAGCTGTAGTAGAACTAGCAGCCTCAGCATTCACAGCTACACCAATTAAATTATGAGTGGAAATCAACATGACTCTCATGAAATTATGTTTCCGGAAAAAAATGATAAAAACTTTACGTCTGGTTGTTTGTAGCTCTTTTTGTGAATAAAACGAAACTAAAAAGACATAATTTTTTTTTTCATAGAATTTAAAGAGGCAGCAGAGGAGCAGTTTCACTTTATATTTTCCTTGAAAAAGAAAATGAAATGAACTCATGGTTGTTTTTAATTTCTTTACTATTGAGACATCATGTATTTGGGTCTTCCTATTGTTAAACCTTCCTTTTTATGATGTACAAGATGTTCAGTACCATCTTGTCCACTGAAGAAGAATCAAAGTGTTTAATTGGTCACATACTTATTGCAGCATTGTGCTTTTGTGAGCTTTCTCAAAAGTATTTTTAACAGTATCAATCCTGACTGTTTATGCTCCGCTTTTCTTGGTTAGTTGGCGGGTGCTAAGGTGTGGTCTGGTCCTTCTTTCCTATTACATGTCTTTGTCCATTTCTCTTCTCCTTTGACCCCCCGGGGCGGTGTTACTGACTGAAGTGTCTATAGACCATTCCCAAAGGGGGGACATGTCATGTTTTTATGCTCAGTAGAATTGTAAATGGGCTGATTCATCAATGTCATGCTCATAACTGTGCCTGAACTGCAACAGGGAACTGCTTCTTTTTCTTTCCTAATCCTTACGATCGTCATTTTCCCTCTACTTCTTTTGTATTTTTGTCACAGTCTTGTAACCAGCTATTTACAGGGTGCCTTGATAGTTGAAGCAGACTTTGTGCAGTTGAAGCTAGAGAGGTGAGCAGAATAAGCCTGATTCTCTGTATGGACTTCTCTGTTGACATCCACCCCTGCGAGCGCTGTAAAAATTCTACTAAAACTAAACTAAATCTTCTCCTTTTATTTTGTTGTTGTTGTATATTACTTTTTAAGAACACCTCTAATCTTTGGTGTCGCAGGTTCTGTTTAACTCTTACTGATAATCTTGAGATTTTTTTTTAATGACATGTCTTTATTTCATTGTTTTGTGTAAGTCCTGTATTATCAGGGGTTTTTTCTCCAGGAACTGTTCTCTCTTTTTTTGCTTTATCAAGTCTTAAAGGTGTTTTAGTTTTATTCAAGGAATCAATGCTTGGAATTTCTATAGACTTCTTTTCATATGTCATTCTGTTTCAACATAAGCTATAGGAGCATTAGTAAACTTAATGTTTCTTGCATTTATAGGCATTCATCGTTGTAACATATAAATGTTTGATGTTGAAATTCTTTCTATGAAATTATTAGTTCCCAGTGTTGGATCATGATTGAATCCAGAGGAGAAGTGCTGAAAATGGAATTTGACTTTATTTGTATGTAGCATATTCAATTTTTTATAGTTTAGGCTATTTTAGAAATAAATAACAAAACCTGAGGGAGCCTGTGAGTTGTGTTACATGTGGCATGGTGCTGAAATCAGGTGCACACAAAAAAATGAAATAGAAGAAAGTCACATTTATCCAATTTTTTGTTTTGCTCTCAACACCGTATATGTCTGTTTGAAAATGCATTGCTGGTTGGATTTTACTTAACCCTATCCATATGCCCTGGGGTCATTTTGTACCCCCGGGGTTGTTTTCTTCACATTTTAGAATTTTACTGTGAAGATCTCTTTGAAACTTTCAGTATTTCTCAAAAAATCATTTTGACACACTGCTATTCAAAGCGTATGGATCGGATTAACGAGTAAATTTCCTCTTTTGGAAAGTGGTGGCACAGAGGGTTAAAAATACTGATCCAAGTCAAAGGCTTTAAGAAATATGTACATTTGCACATTCTAAGAACACTACAGCTTTTGAGGTCGCCTAACCTTTAAGGCCATTTTCTCGCTAATCTTACCTTTGACACCACGCTACCTCCACCTCTTTAAATCACAAATATCTTCATTTCTTTTCAAGATACATGAGTATCCTGTTCATCAAAAACAAGTCAAATGAACACTCTTTTAGATTATACCAATAACTCCTCTTGCCCCAAAATTGAGGAGTGCCAGATTCCAACCCGTCATGGTACATATTATGGTATGGTTTTAATTACAGTTTTCCGGCTCAGTTATACTGCGAGACAATATAAGTTGTTAGACTAGTAAGAAGACTAATTTTTATAGAGATAGTTTTAGTTCTGGGGCTATAATAGCTGATATAAATAATTTTAGGTACTTTGTAATTTGCTTTGCATATATTCTTGATTTCAAACACTTTTGTCAGCCTGTGGTGGATTTGAGTTGTTAGCAGACACTGTTTTAATCGATACTGTTTTTAAAAAAAAATGAATTGTCTCGAAGACATTATTCTTCTTAGCTTGGTTCGTCTTTGTTCAAAGAGTCTAATCATCGTGGTAAACATGGACTGCAGTTCAGCACACTGTCTTAATATAAGAGAATGTAAGTCTCCACAGTAATCCTTTTAATTCTACGGTGCAGTTTGTTTTTGTGGAGTTTTGCTAAAAAAAATTAAAGTGGATCCCAGGGATTGCTGGGAGGAAATTTATTCATGCCAAGGTGACTTCAATGTTTATGTTTTTCTTGTTAATTGCTGTGATGATGCTTACTTGATGTTGATTATGAGGCCTTTACAGGATACCATAAACTTACAGTATACATATAAATACTCTGTACATACATTCCAATATTTTACACCTTTTGCTCTTTGATGGCAATTGTGACATTCATTGTTGAATTTTTGGTTGTGATTTTTTAATTAATTGCTATGAAGGTTACTTTTGTTGGGTTCATTACCAAAATTATTTCATTATGTTCATTATGTCTTTGATTTGAAATATTTACAATCGTGAATTGTGAAAGTCTGGAACATTCACTGCATGTTTTAACAATAATATTCTTAATCAGTGCTGGCTTTACATATCTGATTATCCTCCATAGGAGCTATTTGTGATTTCCTTTGAGAAGATAGAAGGTTTTCTAAATCTAAAGAGTACCTTGAAAATATAAACCTTTTCGTGTTTAGAATTTGCATGAAAAGTACGAGGTATATTCAAGTAAGTTGTGTTTTTACTGGAAACTTGTAAAATTGTTGAAATTAAAATGTTTTAAAGCTTTTGAGTTAAGTCCTGCATTTTATGTCCCTCTTTTAGTTGTCAGTGGGTTTTTTCCCCGAGACTTAAATACCCTGAAGTTCCTGAAGTTTTGCTTCTTGTAGCCTATATGCTGCCCTTGAAAGGATTTTGCCATTTTGTGAACTTAGCACTTTATTTTCTGCACAGATATTGTTTTAATAAAACAATTACTGTTTTTGTCTTTCTTTGCTTTGCACTAACAGAATATAGTGTCCTGATGAGAGTCTACTGCACATTATGCAGTACAGTAATATGTGAGGCACTTCAGTGAAATTAAGTGCTCATCAAAATAATGAAATCAAAGAAACCAGCCTTTTTTCCGGCCAGTTTGGGAATTTTATAGAATTTTTGGTTTTTGGCTCAACACCTTGTATGTCCATTTAAAAACATACTATTATGTCGACTTCATTGGAAAACTTGAATAAAGGCAAAAACCGTCAATTTTCCGTTTTCAAGGACTCTCAAGGTATAGAAACCTCCAAACTTTGGTGGCCATTTTCTAGCTAATTTTACCCCTGAAACCAGGCGACCCCCACCCCTTTCAACCGCTAATACTCGACTTCTGTTTAAGATGGATGGTTATTTTTTTTTCCACATAAAGCAAGACAAATGAACAAGATTTAACATGATACCAACAATTCCACATACCCAAAAGCTTATAAGCACCTGGTTCCGCTGTGTCGTGACACATATAATTTATAGCACACATACTGCTTTTTAAAAACACAAGTAGTTTGTAGTTTTAAAAATAGATTAAGTGGATATCTGGTTGAATCTACTTTTCTGTGTATCTATTTGCTGTTTCCGAGCACTAAATGATTGCCATTAGGGACAGGAAGTAAGACATGGTTTTAAACTTTAAACACATTTGTCTGTTTTAGCATCTTAAAGGACTTTTCTTTTGATGAATCAAACAGACAGCTAGTAAGATTGTCATAAAGTGCCGGACTGGGAATAGGCGTTGGCAATCGTGGTTCGCCATTTATTTCTTTGCTTACTTTACGTACTGTACTTTTCCAATCCAGCGGCCATTTGGGTTCTAGCCCTTCGGCCTGTCGATATGGCAAAGAATTTACAGGTTCAGCTGTGCTTTGTCGCTGTATAGAGTATTTCCGATGTCTGGGGAGGGAGGTAGGTAGGTGCTACGCAGGTTGCAAAGTGCAGGGCAGGTAAAGAGGTGGTGTGGTATTGTTTCATCCTGGCAGTCGCACAACGGGCTGTCGGGTGGGGTATCCTTGCGGATCCTATTAAGGTAGGAATGTAGTGGGATGTGTTGTGTTCGCAGGCGAAAGATCGTGACTTGTTCTCTTCTACTCAGGGAATTTAGTGCATCTTTAGAGTTGGGGGCTGTCATGTGTGCAAATACATTTCTTCCAGTTTTGCCCTTTGCCGATCCGTTCAGCCGCTGTTCTCTGGTGTTGCATTTGATGATGTTCTTGGCTGTCTGTCGTGATACTGGGTTGTGAGGTTGTGTTTGTGATGTTTATTTCTTTGCTCAGATGGTCTAAAAAAACGTATAAAAAACACCTATATCAACCCGGTCTTTCTGTGTCAGCTACAGCAATAGTTTCAAAGTAGGTTGTTTTGGGTCTACCTCTGCTTCAATTGCCTTTTATTTTCTCAGGAGAGCAAGATCTTCAAGGCCTTTATGTCAATTCAAGTTTCCCAGAAACCTCATTTGTCTTTTCCAGATATTAAAAAAAAATTAGTAAGTGGCCCGTGTAAGCTTCTTTCATACAGCCTCATTTGATTTCCTCTCCCTCCATGAAATCCCCAAGTCTACTAAGA